CTCGCGAGAGCCGGCCTCCACCGTCCCAGGCCGGCCTCCAGGGCCCGGGCGCTGGGGCCCCGGCGCGGGGCTCACCTCGGGAGAGAAGCGGCCCGGAGCTGCGGCGGCGGCGGGCACGGCGCTCCTCCCGGTAGCCTCCCTCCAAGCCGCCCGAGCCCTGCGTCTGGAGAGGGGGCGAGGGAGCGTGAGAGGGAGCCCGGGAGCCATCTGCTGGCGGCGAGGGAAGAGAGCCGGGTGGGCCGGGGCTTCCCGACGCCCTGTCCCCACCCCGGGGCGGGCGGAAGGACGCCGAGGGACCCCGAGCACCGGAGGATGCGGATTCACGCCGGTTCTGCAGCCCCGTCTGCGCGGAGGCTGGTTCTTCCGGGACCCTTTTACGCACTTTTCTTTTTCTACGCTCCCTGTGACATGTCATTTCATCAGCGCTATTAATTTCCCATTTCTGGAAGTCTAGAGCTAGACGAAACCTGTAAACGGTGACCATATGGTGAGAAGACACTTTTCTTAATGTGCTCAGCGGGTGCTCTGGAGCCGCCGTTTGCAAATTGAGGGCTCCTTGAAAAAACCTCCTTCTCTTTGCTTGGAGCCTCTTTTACCCTCAGGGCGTACTCGGGGAACTGAGTTTTATTCACAGAAGCCCGAAGACGCCGGCTGATAGGTCGAATCCCACACTCCCTCGGACTTCCTGAGCTCCACCCAGAGGGACAACTTCAAGGCCAAGAATACTTGAGTTTTCATTGCTGCTTTAGCGCCCAGGGGCTGGGAACGTCCCAGACTGTCCGATCAGGTCCCGCTTTTTAAAGGACAGAAAGAGGGAAGGGAGGAAAGGAAGGGAATCCCACGCATTTGGTAATCTAACTTCAAATGCTACGAATCACCTTGAATCCCTCAGAGTAATATACAGTCTGTCAGCCAGGCATTAATTTGCCCATATGTTTTCTTCCCACCCTTCTAGCCCCTCTTGCTCCCCTCTCTGTTAAAACCAGACTCACTGTTTGCTTCCTCTTTTCCTCTTAAGATTTTCTGGTTATCTACGTTTTCAAACCCATCCCAATGTATACCTTCTTTGGGAAGATTTTCCAGGGATTTTCAGAACTCTGTGATCCGTAACCCGCTAGAATCCATTTGCCTGAAACGCTGTTTCGTAAGCCCAACCATACAGTGCCCTGTTTCACTCAGTGCTTGTGTATTTATCTAGTTTTACTATTTGACTCTTGTCTCTGAGTTTGGATTTTCCTGCCCAACTAGACTATAGGTGATTTGATGGCAGGTCTTTATTGTAGACTTTTGAACCTCTTCAACAGCCTTGTGTGTGTAAAGCAGATGTTCAGTAAGCATGTTAACTGATTTTAGAATTTTGGATCTCAGGCCCCTAACCGTTTTTTTCAAAAGTTGGTTTTCTTTAAGCTAGACGTTTCCTTAATGCATTAAATTTTTTTCTGCAATAAATGGAAATTAACATCTCAAAACCGGCTTTCCTTCGACTGTGTGTGTTAAAGGGTACTTTTCAGAAATAATCCTAAAGGTTGCAAACCATGTGATAGCTTGTGAAAATAAGAACAAAAGATTTTTTTTTCCTGTGGCCTGCGGTGGCAGAAAGAATAAAAGAAAAGCTGTACGTACGGCTTGTAATTCAGTACTCCTTGGCATTTTTAAAGGAAGCTAGGTTTCAATAAAAGAATCATTTTCACTGCAGCAGGATCCTGACTGGCTCCTGAATCTCTGAAGAAGTGGATTCAAATGGATCTCCTCTCACAGCACTGAAAAATGACTGGCTGGTTTTGGAAATCAGTCATTTATTTCTTAAGTGCAGAACTTAAAGATGTTTCATAATAGGAAGTAGAGAACTCCAAGGAGCACTGTTTATATAGCTATAAAATCCTATAAGCGGTAAACATTCCTAGTACAGTAAAGCCATGGTGCCAACTGAGGGAATGTAGTTTGCATTCTGAAATGTGTGCTTTTTGAATGAATGCTACCTATCCTTCCTAATGCTGCAGAAACAAACTTTTCTCACTATACCTGCCCCCTACTTATATAGACTTGATAAAAAGAATGGTTAAACCACTGCATAAAACGGATTACCATTACATATGTGATTAGCCGTAGCTTCATCAAAGTAAATATTTATAAGTGACTGTCCTTTTTTTTTTTTTTGAGTTGGAGTCTCACTCTGTCACCCAGACTGGAGGGCAGTGGCACACTCCCGGCCATCGCAGCCTCCACCTGCTAGGCTCCAGCGATCCTTCCACCTCAGCCTTCCAAGTAACCAGAACTACAGGCACACGCTACCACGCCCAGCTAATTTTTGATTTATCCTACAGACAAGTTGCCCGGGTCTTGAAACCGCGGGCTCAGGCAATCCACTTGCCTCGGCCTCCCAAAGTGCTGGGATTACAGGCTGAGCCACCGAGCCCAGCCTATGGCTGTCTTTAAGCATTACAACTAGTACTGATCATATGAAACCTGTTAGAGAAAACTTTTTCAGAGAATCTCTACTGCACTTGAACTTTTATTTGTTTATTTATTTATTTATTTATTTTTTAATTTTTTGGTTGGAGTCTCACTCGGTCGCCTAGACTGGAGTGCAGTGGCCGCTCCCAGTCACCGCAGCCTCACCTGCTGGGCTCTGGCGATCCTTCCGCCTCAGCCTTCCGAATTACAGGCATGCGCTACCACGCCTGGCTGATTTTTTTATTTATTGTAGAGATGAGGTCTCGCTGCCCAGGCGGGTCTCGAACCCGCGGGCTCAGGCAATCCACTCACCTCAGCCTCCCAAAGGCGCGGGATTACAGGCTGAGCCACTGAGCCCAGCTGCACTTGAACTTTTAAAATGACATTTTAAATAATGACTGGCTGTGGTGGCTCACACCTGTAATCCCATTATTTTGGGAGGCTAAGGCTAGAGGATCCCTTGAGGCTAGAAGTTAGAAACAAATCAGGGCAAAATAGTGAGACCTCCACTCCTATCTCTACAAAAAAATGTTTAAATAATTTTACTTTAAATATATATATAAAATGTAAAACACGGTGGCAATAAATATACTGACAACATTATTTTGGAAAATTATACATCTTTATTTTTAATTTAAGGGCATACATTTATATCTACATAGTACATTTTGTCATGCATGTGAGAAAAACACTGAATAAAAAAATTTACTGAAAATAATGTCTCTAGCCGGGCTCAGTGGCTCAGTCTGTAATTCCGCGCCTTTGGGAGGCTGAGGTGAGTGGATGGCCTGAGCCCGCGGGTTCAAGACCCACCTGGACAACTTGGCGAGACCTCATCTCTACAATAAATCAAAAATTAGCCGGACGTGGTAGCACGCGCCTGTAGTTCCAGCTACTTGGAAGCCTGAAGCGGAAGGACCGCCAGAGCCCAGCAGGTCAAGGCTGTGGTGGCCGGGAGCGGCCACTGCACTCCAGTCTGGACGACAGAGTGAGACTCTAACTCAAAAAAAGAAAAGAAAATAAAAGAAAAGAATGTCTCTGTAATGACTCAGCACAGTATCATTAGAACCATATCAGATAATGATTGAACTTAACAAGCTAACAAGAAAGTCCTACAAACTTACTTAAGTCAGTTTCTGATCTTGCCTACCGCCTTGACAAATGGTTTAAAAATGAGACGGTATTCAGAAATGTGGGAACCAACAGCATTTCACACCCCCAAATAATGATTTTAAGACCTACTTCCGCCAGGCTCGGTGGCTCAGCCTGTAATCCCGCGCCTTTGGGAGGCTGAGGTGAGTGGATTGCCTGAGCCCGCGGGTTTGAGACCCGCCTGGGCAACTTGGCGAGACCTCATCTCTACAATAAATCAAAAATGAGCCGTGCGTGGTAGCGCGCGCCTGTAGTTTCAGCTACTTGGAAAGCTGAGGCGGAAGGATCCCCGGAGCCCAGCAGGTAGAGGCGACAGAGTGAGACATCAACCCCCCCCCAAAAAAAATACTTCCCTTCATTGTATTCACTCATTAAAGGACCCTGAACATTTATCTTAATACTATAAGAAAGGGATTGCGGAAGGCTGAAGTGGAAGGATCGCCGGAGCCCAGCAGGTCGAGGCTGCGGTGGCCGGAAGCGGCCACTGCACTCCAGTCTGGGCGACAGAGTGAGACTCCAACTCAAAAAAAAAAAAAAAAAAAAAGAAAGGGATTGATGGGGAGGGAGATGGCACATAACATCAGTAAGGGTTTCAAAACTTTACCTGTACGATGACCACTTATGTACCTTACCCTAAATTTTACCCCACATTATTAAATAAAAACAATTTTAAAAAAGAAACGGGCCAGGCTCAGTGGCTCAGCCTGAATCCTACCACTTTGGAAGGCAAGGCTAGTGGATTTCCTGAGCCTGGGGGTTCCAGACCAACCCAAGCCACTTGGCAAAATCTCGTCTCTACAATAAAATTTAAAAATAGCTGGGCATGGTAGTGCATGTTTGTAGTTCCAGGTGAATGGATTGCCTGAGCCTGCGGGTTCGAGACCTGCCTGGGCAACTTGGTGAGACCTCATCTCTACAATAAATCAAAAATTAGCCGGGCATGGTAGCATGCGCCTGTAGTTCCAGCTACTTGAAAGGCTGAGGTGAAAGGATCGCCGGAGCCCTGCAGGTCGAGGCTGCTGTGGCCAGGAGCGTGCTACTGGGCGACAGAGTGAGACTTCAACTCAAAAAAAGAAAAGAAAAGAAATCAGAGAATTTAAAAAGAACTCTCTGAATTTTATGTTATCAGGAATTTTCATTTCGAAGGCTCTTGGGAAGACTCTGCTTTCAAGTTCATTCAGGATGTCAACAGAGTTT